AGGAAGGAGGCCAGGGGAGAGAGGGCAGAGTCACGCGGCATCCGCCATGGGTGACACTCCCAACACTAACGACCCCATCATAAATCTACGACAGCTCGTTCTTACCCCCATGTCACAGATGAGGCTCAGAGAGGCTGAAGCACACAGAACACGGAGGTTTTAAACCCCGTGAGTTCAGGGCATGCTCTCCCGTGGTGGGGGGAGGGGAACCTTGGCAGATGCGAGCGGCGTGATTCTCGGCAAGTCACTGCTCCTGAATCTCGGTCTCTTCTCCTGTAAAGTGGGGACTGCGCCCTCCTGGCCTACAGAGGGCACATTTAAACCTGAATCCAAGGACGGATTCACATCACAGACGGTCACTATGTGCTTTCCCAGGGCTTGGTAGCAGAGTGTGGATTCTGCCACCCTCGCCCTGTGCGACTTGGGGCAAGTTAATCAACATCTCTGAACCTGAGCGTCCACGTTTACAAAATAGGGATGACAGCAACAGTTAAGGTAAACAGTGGTTGAAAAAGCTCTTTGAAAAGCATTAAAGCACCATGCAAACTAGGCCAGGAATACTGGTTAATTTCTACAGAGGGGAATAAAAAAATAATAATTTTACGATGATAATAATAGTGGCTACCATGAGAGTAAGGCCTATGAAATGACTATTCTTTTAAAAAGCCAATTGAAAAACAAAAACGAGCTTCTACTAAAAGGTGGGTTCTAGCTCCGGCTCAAAGAGACCCACCCGGTGTTCATTTTTTTTGCAGAGAAATGTAGAGCTTAATGTGGAAATTAAACTGAAGGGCTGTGTCTTACCTTTGCCAGGAAAGATGGACAAGAGTGGGCAGTCCTTTCCCGTGGCTAACTCCCCGCCTGTCGCCACAGTCTGGACAGACACACCAGCCTCTGTCCAGAGTAAAGACAGTGGCCTGCTGCTCCCACCTCGCCAGCCTTTGATGGTGCTGGGCGCAGGGGGCATGGCCCACTTTCAGCCACAGCTCCTGCTCCAGCCCTAGCAGCCCGGCTCGGCCTCTAGGGCTGAGTCCTCGGCCCCTGGCTCAGTTCTTCTTGGAGGACAAGCGCCTGGGTTCACGCGGCAGCGGCTACCAAGTGCGGGGGCCAAAGCCGGGGCTCTCCCCACTTGAACATGGGTTCCAGACGTCCTTCTCATAGTCCATTGCCACGTACCGTAATTGTTGGCTTGCTTGTCTACACCCTGGAGCTCCTTGAAGACACTGTCCAAGGCAATCGCTATCAAGACGTGGTACAGGGCAGTGGGTGAATTCACAGCTCTGGAGCCTAACCACACGGTGCAAATCCGGCCTTTGCACAAACTAACTAGGTATCTCGGGCAAGTCGCTAAGCCTCTTTGAGCTTGGATTTCCATCTGCAAAACAGAAATGATGACAATACAGACTCTTGTGCACAATTCCAGAATCTAAGAAGCCCTCAGGATGAGCATTTTTTGGTAACTTTGAACCTTGACCTGAACTAGCATGAGGCTATTTATTGATTTTGTTTATCCTTCTTAGTATGAAATTAACGCATTTCCCTGTAGAACCCCGAGAGCTTGGTTCACGGCGCCGCCCCAGACACAGGGTACGTGAGCCTGCTATGGCGGCTTAACATAATACCTTAACATCAGAAATTTACTTTCTGATAGTTCTGGAGGCTGGAGGTCCAAGGTCAAGGTGCCAGCAGGGTTGGTTTCCCCTGCGGCCTCTCACCTTAGCCTACAGATGGCTGTCTTCTCCGTGTCCCCGCATGGCCCTCCCTGTGTGCTCACATCTTCGTGTGCAGCCTTCCCCATAAGGACACCAGTCGGACTAAACTGGGGTCACCCTAATGGCCTCATTTTAACTAGCTCACCTCATTAAAGGCTCTACCTCTAAACACAGTCACATTCTGAGGTTCTGGGGTTTAAGGCCCCAACGGGTGAATGAACAGGGGCACAGTACAGCCTATATAATACAGGGTATGATATCTGGACTGAGTTTCCTTTCTAAAACGTCCAAGCTTCCTGAGTTCAGAAACACAGAAACTCACCCCAGACGCTTCAAGTGAGGGACGGGGGACCTGGGAGACTGTCGCCATGGGCGAAGGACCAAATGTGCCGACACACATAGAACACTGGCCAGGGTCACCAGGCAACCCTTCCCACTGGCAGGGGCTCTGTGGGGCCCGAGGACACACATGAAGAAGCCAGTGCACGCTGAGTCTAAGCCACAGCGGAGGCACAACCACAACTAGATACTAGGTCACTGAAAAACATTTCCCCTCAGTTACAACGATGCTAGACCCCTGGCACCTCTAAGAATGACTCTTCAAGAATACTCTGAGGCCCACAAGGCAGGCTAAGAGCTTGACCTTCAAAGGCAAGTCGTCTCTTGGATCCTTGCCAAGGATGACAAAAGCCCGTTTCTTGTTTTCACCTTTGCATGATTGTGGTCTATTTTCTAGTAACGAAGAGTTATTTGAGATTATTAATATTTGAAGTTTGATGGGTGGTTTCTCCTAAGTCCTACAGCTACCCCAGCCCCTTCCGGCCAAGCTCTACCTTTAGGAAGGTATCTTCTGCAGCTAGCACTCCACTGGGAAGGAGAAAAGTTGGGCCAGGCACCTATCTGGGCTGTGGTCAAAAAATGAGAGCCAGTCATTTAAGAAATCCACCTGGAAATGGACTCAACAGGTTTTTCTTAATGGGGGAAGATTTTTAAAAAATGTTTCATTCTCTAAAGTCAGGAGATCTGGGTTTCCGCCCCAATCTGTAACTTTGAACTTTAACCTCAGCTTCCTTATCTGTAAAATGGGAGCAAATGACCTGTTCAACGTATCTCGTGGAAGCTTAGGATGAGTGTGGGCAGTCTATTCCCACCAGACCAAACAGTGGACGTTTCTGGAAAAGTGGTGGGTGCATACCAAATGCCAAAACAACATTAGCTATTATTTACTATTCTGCCACTATTTCCACAGCCACCCTCTGATAAAGCTGTTCCCAAAAGCCCACATTTTGTGGATGGGAACAGCAGACTTGAGGCCAGGTCAGGTTCTCAGGGCAAGCCACAGCCCAGTACCTCCGACCTCAAGACCCGCCTATCTCAGGTAAAGACATTTCTGCACAAAGAGGCCAGTCAGGTGACCTCTCAGAAGATCAGGGCCAATGTTCTCCAGTATCACAAAGAGACCAGAGATGACCCGGCCCAGCCTCCACAGCAAAAATAAACAACACGCCATCACCAACAGCTCAGGGCCGAATTCCAGGCGGGCCCTTCCCCTCCTTCAGTTAAAGAAAGACAGAGCAACTTCTGCTCACTGGAAAGAATGATCTGGAGAATGTAGGCACGACCAGGTAAAAACCCGACCTGAGAGCAGACCCCACTCGCCACTCTAAGCCACATCATCTTGCTGACCTCCCCAATCTGAGCCCCGGGAGCCTCGCCTGAAAACGGGGACAGACATGCATCCTGCTTCACAGGATGGCTGTAAGGTTTAAAGGACTCAGTGGATAAAAAAGGCTTAGCGCCAAATGAGCACCTCTGAATATGCCGGCTCCTTCTAGGAGAGCAGGTTAACAAAAAGTTGGCAGGTCTTCAAGAGGCAAAGGAAGCATCAAATAAAAAGTGTAAGGAAATAAGGGGGCTGGAAGGAGGGAGTGGGCTCTGCGGCCTGGGGACTTTCTGCTGAGTAAGCCATAAAGACAGCGTGTGTTAATACGGCCGCAGCTCAGGGAGCTCAAAGGGCTGTAACAGACATGATCTCACTGGGATGTTTTTTATTAGCTTCTGAGGCAGGTTAACAGGTTCCACCATCTCTGCTGAGACAGTGAAACTGTGGGCTCCCCAGCCTCCCCTGACAGACAGGAGCGGGGGCAGCCTTTCTCGGCCTGCCCGGGCAGCAAAGGCCCACGATCTATTTCTTGATCCACAATCCGTCATGAGCCAGGCATCGTGAAGGGGAGTTAATTTTTTAAAAAAATAAATTTCCTAGTGCGACGTGAAAGAAATTCTGTATTTGTTTTTCTAAAGAGCAGAGTGGGGAGGGAGGCAGGAAGGTTTGGGATCGGAATCCTGAGTGTGCTTCCCGGTCTGTAAAATCAGCCGTCAGCTCTCCCCTGGAGGGCCGTGCGGGGCCCAGCGCAGTGAGGACCGCAGGGTTCCAGTGGTCTAGGCATCTGGTCACCCAGGATGGCCACTGTGGCTACTCCTGCATCCCTGTTATACACCTTCCCATTTCTCCTCCTGAGAGTCTTCATCCAGCTCCAAGTCTCGAGACCGTTCTATGACCTCCTGATGTCCCTGAAACACTGGCCACACCCTGTGACACTATCTTCCTTCTGATTATGCTGAGGCCGGTTTTAATCCCACCCACTGGCCTCTCCTGGGCTTCCTACCTGCAGCCCTCCTCCCAAGGGCAGCGCTGGGGCTCAGGTCCAAGGACGACACAGCCCCGGACAGTCCCAGTCCTGTGCAGGGAGCCCCCGCTTTGGGACCCCTGAGCTCGGAAGCGGGGCGGGACAGGAAGAGCAGGGCCCGCTCCCAGGCAAACACTTCCCCTCCCCGCGGAAGCCCCGGTTCCCCTTCAGCCTAACGGGGGTTTATATTCCCACGCGACTGCTCAACAAAATGAGATCATGTCTGTGAAATGTTTCATAAACTGTGAAAGCGCTGAGCAGGCAGTAACTGTCCTCGCCCCCCACCTCCCCGACGGAGGGAGCTCCTCCAGGTCACTGCGGAAGACAGGTGGGGAGGAGGGACTGTGGACCCCGGGAAAGCCACCAAGGCTGCGGCCTGAGGCTTGGCTGTGTGCAAAGGAGAAAGAGTCCTGGGCCCTTCTGGGTAAAGGCCTGCCCAGGTCCGCTTCCAGTTCTGGTGATCATCTCGGCCCCGAAGTGACCCCCAGCCATCTCCTCCCGCCCTCCGGAAGCTCTTCTCCCAAGGGTCCCTTAAGCAAATTTTCTGTCTCTTCCTGGCAAATACACAGCCCTTTGCCTGGTGCCCATCTGAGGAGGCAGGGATGTCCGCCCGCCCAGGTCCGCCCCGAGGAGGCAGCGTGGAGCCGTGGGCAAAGTCAGGGCTCTGGATGGGGTGCTCTGCTCACAGCCCCTCACGTTTTGATGCAGTTCTGTGACCAAGGGCTCAACAGCAGACCATAAATGTGAGCCAGGGGACCCAGACACACCCAGCTCTCCATCCCCCCATCTGTGAAACAGGCCTGATAAGGACAGCACGTGCTGCAGGGTTCCTGCGAGTTAACCAGGCACACGGCAGCACCTGATCCAGGTGAGCTGCCTTCCGATGTTCGTATTCACAGGGCTGAGCTGGAGTCCTTGTCAGTAAGAGGGAGATGAAGGGAGCACCTGCCCAGAGTTTATTAAGAGGATTAAATGAGAGTATAGTGCTTAGCACAGTATCTGACACACAGCAAGTGGCTCAATAAATGAGAGCCACCGTAATGATTTAAGCGGGAGGGAAAGTCCACATCCTACGCCACGGAGCTTTTTCCCAATCCTGGGCTGTTGGGATGAAGGGGTTGGCCTCAGCCTGAACAGGAGAGGAGAATCACTCTGACCTGTGAGTAAGGCCGGCGGCCGGCAAGATCCAGCTGCTGGGCCAGGGCGAGGCTGGGGCGAGGCCTCGCTTGGCCCACGGTCAGGGTGATGCATTTTTACTGTAAGGCCTGCGTAACTCCAGAGCCAGTGCTGGCCACCTCGTCCCTGGGGCCTGACGCTCGCTGGTCAGCGATGAGAGATGCTTTGTAAAAGGGGCAGACGCTCCCCAACCCCCGGAACTGATGGGGACAGAGCCAGGAAGGAAAGGACAGGGTGACGGGCATGTGTTATTTAGTAAAAGCCACTCTCTGTTTATTTAACCACGTGAGGTGTAAGATAGCACAGCGCGTCTGGGTGCCAGGCTGAGTTCTGGGACATTAGCCAAAGTCAATTAAGACCAGGGGTGAGGGGGGAGAATAAATAGTGAGTGGAGGCTGATGGGGGTGACAGTGAAGGAGAGGCTGGGACCCAGCAAAGGGAGGGGAAGAATGACAGACAGACAGACACACAGCTCCTGGGCTCCACACGCCCTGCATACAACGCGAAACGTAAGTTCTGGTCACAGGGGGTCTACCTTCGGCACGTCCCGAGGGCACCCCTCTGCGTCCTTGGTGCACTCCGCCTCACCTTAACAAGAGATGGGACCACACAGTGATCGGGTCAATGTATGACCTCAAAAGACCAAACACAGGGGTCTAAAGGCTACATCGCCGCTACCTGCTGAGGAAACACAGCAGGAAGAGCCGTTGCAAAGGACGGACGATAGGATTCCAGATGAAAGACTTCCAAAGGGCGTGTTTCTGCCCGGGTTGTTTCCACCGGCCTTTGGGGAAACAGCT